GCATAAAAAAACCCCCAACAACCACACCAACATCAAAACCAACCAAAGACCCACAACCGAAGACACACAAAAAAAAAAAAAACAAAAAACAAAAAACAACAAAAAACAAAAAAGGAACAATGTTCAACTAACTGACTTATTCCCAGTGTTATTAACTGAACTGGTTCCAATGTCTCACTAACTGACTGATTTCCAGGTTGATTCATTAACTGACTGCTCCCAGTGTTTCATTAAAACTGACTGGTTCCAATCTCAGCACTGACTGGTGTCCAGTGGTTCATTAACTGACTGATTTCCACGTGTTTCACTTAACTGACTGATCTCCAATGTTCTCACTAACTGACTGGCTCCCTCTCCTTATCTCCCTCTCTCTCTCTCTCTCTCTCTCTAACTCCCTGCCCCTCCTTCACTCTCCCTCCCATCTATGATACATGCGAGGGAGAAGAGAAGAGAAGAGAAGAGAAGTTTGATGTCAGTGACTACCCACGCATCGATGGTGTTTGCTCTGTGTATACATGCACACACAATCACACATACATACTAGTATGAGCTTGCAGTGTACGTACACTCAATAAACCCACCATGCAGCGATGCGCATACACTCTACACGAATAATATCTAAGCAACCATCCCTCTCGAGTCATCAGTAATTCTGAAGCCTCTGGCACACACGCACGCGCGAGGATGTATGTTAAACACACATGGGCCGAGTTCAAACGAACTCCTACATCAGAGATGAAAACGTGACACAACCACGCAGCATGAATGCCCGAGGCTCACCAGTTGCCATGGCGATGCGGAGGCAAATCCTCCCTGGCATTTTCGTCGCATTTTAACTAGAACATTTGCCACATTCGATATTACTCGACTCTGGTTTGCTACGTAGAATGCATAAAGCCGATTCATTATAGAGAAGGCGCCTGTGATTCCGTCACAGCTGTGCGAGCTTTGGGATGTACACGTAAGCTATGTGCCCTAGAATGCTTTAGTTCCACATACAGAGAAACCCTTCACCGCTGAGGTTTCTCGTTGGAGAAGAAACATTTGCAAACGAGTGATGTGTTGAATCTTGGCACTTAGTAAATCACTACTGGCTGATTTATTGATTCAGAGACAGAACATTTTATTATCAGCTGGCACTTGGCAGGTTTCTAATCAAACGTGAACACAAGCAAAAATAATAAACCAGCATTAAGTATTTGATGCACGACTGCACAAGAAAATGACAAATTTCGATGTCTTACCTTTGAATTTTGAGCGTATATTTGCAAGTTCTTTATTTATCCTTTTCACTTCGGCCTCCCTACTTTTACCTAAAATTGAAAATATGGCAAGCATTGTAAAGAAATGATAGTCACATATATACTTGTGTCAGCCGGTATCACTGATTATAAGCAAACCAATCAAAATCAGCACAAAAAGCTTGTAATAGCATTTACAGGAATTAATTTTAAAAATTCTTAATTAAAAAGGCTGCATCAGTTTCTTTGATTCATTAATATGACACCAATGCTCATTATTTAAGTAACTATCAAGACATCCTGCAGTTGGCTTCCTCTCCAACTAGTAACACTTGATTTGAGACAGCATAACAGGTGCTTTTCTTATCATATATTCTGATCTCATAACCATCCATTACACAGTGAACAGAATTTTTTAAGAAATTAATTATATGTGCACTGTTCATGAGTTTCTACTACTATTTGTCCTGAGACCAGCTTAACTCACACGAGCGATGGAAATTTCATCCGCAAATGTGAAATTTTAATTTAATCACGACTCAGGCGACCTGACACAAACAGCAGCAGAACATTTTTCTGACATTTCATTATTGAAAGTGTAATTATTGCACTAATTTGTAAATGCATTACATTTATACCAGATGCTGTGGGACTACAACAACGTGCACATATGTACTATAAGTGCTAGATCCATGCCGTCCAGTAGGTCTTTCATTGCTTAGTTTGCTAATGTCAACTAGGCCACTAAATAACACACGTTAATTGGTTCATGTGGGTTAAATGCAGTACGAGATGTCTTATCTCACACATTCATCTCACACTGTATTTCATAGATATTGTGCGTGATAAAATGTGTTCTTACAGTTTCTTATATCGGATATGAAGACTGCGAGGCCTCGCATTCCATCTCCCTTTACGGCAGGCATGGTGGTCGTCTGCTATGACAACAACGCTGATTGCTCTGCAATACGATAAAATGGGAAAACAATCAGTATATACAACCATAAGTAATAAATTATACAGTATTTATACGATCTATGACCTGTTATATGATATTATTTATATACACTTAAAGATGCATTAGTAATAACTGATAGTAACAAATGTATGTATACCAGTGCAAATATAGTTTATAACACTTGATACCTACTGTAGATAACAATTGTGTACATACATAAACAAGTGCCGCAGAGCGACAGCGCTCACCTGATGGCAGGTGTTCTGATGCTAAACTCACTGGCAAACGAATGAAGAGCACCCTCCCATCACCGCGTTCGCGCTCAGAGCATATATCTAGGATACTAGTTAAACTACTAATACAGACCTAAAATCTATGATAGCTAGGCTTTGCTATACCGGTAGTGCAGTAATAAAGATACAGCTGTGTAACTTTAA